GGCACATAACAACAACAACAACAAACATATTTCAAAGGAAGGTCATCAATACTAATATATTTTTTTTTCACCCTGTATTGCAGCTCACCTGATTGTAGAATATTACATGGCAAAATAAGATCATACTTGAGTAGACTGTTGTAAAAGAATTCCCCCCCTTCCTTTAATCATACAAATATAAAGAGCATAAGGAATTTGTGTCTAGTGCTGTGTAGCTTCCATATACCATTTTGCATTTTTCATCATCTAAATGTTCCTCTGAATTGTTTTCTCAGTCAGTAATCTGTCAGGATAACCACACAAAAGTCTTTCAAGTTGTACTTATGAATTCAAGAAGATGAATATAGAGCTATCATACTCTTATGTCATTTACAATTCTTATCTCTAGATTTAGACAGTGCGATTGGCACAGGACAGAGCGGAGTTTAGGGCTGTTGTACATAGGGTCGCTATGAGTCGCAGGCGACTCGACGGCACATAACAACAACAACAACAACAGATTTAAACAAAGGCTTATATTTCTTGTGCAAGCCTCTTAGTTTTACAAAGGAAGGAGCCGAGATGGTGCAGCAGTAAAGCTCTCAGCTGCTAACCAAGAATTGAGTTAGAACCCACTTGCTTCTCCATGGGGAAAAGTGAGGTCGTCTGCTTCCTTAAAGATCTATAGCCTTGTACTCTGGGAAGTTCTACTCTGTCCTATAGGCTTATTATGAGTGAGAATGACTCATACATATTAACTTAGGGGAATTTAATTAACTTAAAGATTGCAATTTAATATCTTTGGTTTTCTTTTCCCTATCTCCATAACACATTTCACTACCAGCTCATAATGTATAAAAGTATTTTTAAAACTGTGAATCATTATTTTATCATCATCTCACAACTCTAAAAGGCTTTTGTTAACTTTAAATTTTACCATGTCTTTATTCATAAGAGACTCTGAAGATTGCATTGGAGCATCAAGAATCAAAAACAAGAGAAAAACACCTCAAAGTGAAAGAGCTGAACAGAAGATTTCAAAGGGCAGCTTGGGAGGGCAAAGCAAAATGTTACAATGGCATGTGCAGAGAGCTGGAATTGGAAAATAAAAAGAGAACTCACTCTGCATTTCTCAAGCTGAGAGAATGGGAGAACAAACTTAAGTAAGCCTCTGTCACAATATTGAAAGATGCTATGGGCAATATATTGAAGAACCCACAATCACTGTACAAAAGGAATTGATTGACATGGAATAATTTCAAGAAGTACCATATGAGCAGGAGCCAGTGGTAATAAAGGAGGAAGTGGAAGCTGCATTGAAGTCATTGGCAAAAAAGAAGGCCCCAAGAATTGATGGGATATCCATTGACTTATTTCAGTTAACAGATACAGCCTTGGATGCGCTCACCAGTCCATGCCAGGAAACTCAGAGGACAGCTGTCTGGCCAATGGATTGGAAGAGGTCCTTATTTGTTCCCATTCCCAAGAAAGACGATTCAACTGAATGTGGAAACTATCAAACAAATCATTAATATCACATGTAAGCAAAATACTGCTGAAGATCATTAAAAAAAGGCTAGAACAATCCATAGATAGGGAACTGCCAGAAATTCAAGCAGGATTTAGAAGAGGCCATAGCACCAGGGATATCATTGCTGATGTCAGATGGATTCTGACTGAAAGTAAGGAATACCACAAGAATGTCTATTTATGTCTTACTGGCTATTTAAAGGCCTTTGACTGTGTGGTCATGACAAGTTGTGGTAGACATTTAGAGGAATGGGAATCCCAGAGTACTTGATGTGCTCATGCAGAATCTAGACCTGGATCAGGAGACTTGTGCAAGCAGAGCAGGGGAACACTGCATGGTGTAAAACTGAGAAGGAAGTGTGCCCCGGTTGTATTCTCTCTATGTATTTATTACGTTTCTATGCTAAGCAAGTTATCCAAGAAGCTGGACTCTGTGAAGAGGAATGTGGCATCAGGATTGGAGGGAGACTTATCAATAATCTGCGTTATGCAGTTGACACAACCTTGCTGGCTGAAAGTGAGGAGTACGTGAAACACTTGTTGCAGAAGTTCAAGGAAGGCACCCTCTAGTATGGATTGCATCTCAATGTCAAGAATAACCACTGGACCAATAGGCAGTGTCATGATTGATGAAGAGGAGTTTGAAACTGTCAATAGCTTCATCTTACTTGGGTCCACAATAACACCCTTGGTATCAGCAGTCAGGAAATCAGGAAATGCATTGCACTGGGAAAATCTGCAGTTAGGGACCTCTACAAATTATTGAGGAGAAATGATGTCAGTTTCAGGACTAAGGTGCATCTGATTCAGTCCATGGTCTTTCCAATGACTATGTATGTGAGCTAGACAATGAATAAAGATGACAGAAAAAGAATTGACACCTTTGAGCTGTGTTGTTGGAGAAGAGCATGAACATCCTATGGATGGCCAAGAGAACAAACAGATTAGTCTTGGAGAGGGTGTAGCCAGAGTGCTCTTTGGAGGCAGAATGATGAGGCTTGACTTCACATACTTTGGGCATGTTTCTAGGAGATGCTATTCCTTGGCGAAAAATATGATCCTGGGAAGGGTGGAAGGTCAATGAAAACCCACAATTAGGTGGATTGACACAGTGACTGCTGTTGTAGTGGGCTCTTCTGTGTCAGGATGTGTGAGGATGGCACAAGATGTAACAGGGTTCAGGTCTTTTGCTCATAGGGTTGCAGTGAGTTGTACTCGACGGCACCTAACGACAGCATTGCATTCATCTCTGACACATTGAAAGGTGAAATGGCTAAACTAAGAGACACTACATTTTTAAGACTTTAAATATATGTTAGTCAAATTCGAATTTAATTTCTCTTTAGGTTGGCTGTTTTTACTGAATTTATTGACTTTAAAAAATTATATTTTATGTGTATATAGCAAAACATTTGCCTTTTGACATTTTCCACATGTATAATTCAAAAACATTATGTTCATCCTGTTATGTAACCATTTCCAAACCTTTTGAAAAATGCAGTGCCTTTTAAGCAATATTTCCTCTTTCCCCCTTCCCCATTCCTGCCTCTGCTAACCCTAATAAACGTTGGTCTCTAAACAGTTACCTATTTTAGTTAGTTACTCTACGAGGGATCATACAGCATGTGTCCTCCTGTGACTGACTCATTACATTGAGCATGTTTTCAAGGTTCATTTGTGGCGTGGCATTCATCAGAACTTCTTTCTCTTTATGGCTCAGTAATAGTCTGTGTACCACATTTCCTTTACTCTTTCACTTACTTATGGATATTTATTTTATTTCCATTTTTTTGTTGCTGTGATAAACATTGATAACAAGTGTCTGTTTGCATTCTTGCTTTCATTTATTTTTAGTATGTGACTTAAGTATGGAGTTGCTGGGTAGTAATAATAATTCCATGTTTTAACTTTAAAGGATCTGAATTTTTCCACATCCTCATCAAGTGAACCTTTAAAATACATTATAAACTTCTTGTTGATGTCCTGTGATTGCTACTGAAAGAGTTAGGTCTGTCTTTATTATAAACTCTTATATTAAGTTATCATTAGTAAGTTAAAGATTATTTATCTTTTCATTTACTGTCCCTGCAAATTATAATAGTTGCAAATTTAAACTCTGCTTGTTATGAATTTAATAAAGAAATAACTTTCCTCCTTTTGTTTTCAAACGTGGAGATTTCTACTAAATTCTACCTAATGAATATTTAGTCTTAGGGGAGAATATTCTTAGCTTTGGTTTATATTGTTTGACAAGAGTTAAGGAATGTTATAATTTTTCAAATTATCATAATTTTTACTCAAAAGTTTAAGAATGAGAATCCAAATGAGTCTTTATAAATATCCCTTAAAATTCTGATTTTATTCTAGTTTTAATTTCCTTTTTGGTCTGTTCATTAACAGAGCATTGCGGATTTGTTTTGCAGAAGCCTTACAGCCGTTCCTTGAAGCCTGTAGCAACACTTTATTTTTCCGTACCTGCTCTGTCCTCCTTCGAACTCCTAAACTTGATCTTCAAATACTTGAGAAGCTTAGTATTATTTTACAGAAACTTTCGAAAATCAGGTAAGAATTTCTTCCTTTTTACTTTTGGTTGATTGATACTTGTGGTAATTTACAGCTTTCTGAACTCTGTATTTATTCAGTTCTTATTTAAAATATATTTCTGATATGTAGATGTAGAAAATTGAGATTCATGCATATAAATGCTGATTTAAGAACATACAATAACTGACAGCTAAAATTAGAGTCCATTATTATCCAAAAACAACTAGACCAGTATATTAGCAGAGAACTGCCAGATGTGCAAGCTGGGTTTAGAAGAGACTGGTAGCCAACGTTAAATGGGTCTTGGCTGAAAACAGAGAGTACCAGAAGAATGTCTGTGCTTCATTGACTATGCAAAGGCATTTGACTGTGTGGATCACAGCAAATTGTGGCTAACCTTTACAAGAATGGCATTCCCAGAATACTTAATCATACTCATGTGAAACCTATGTTTGGACTAGGAAGCAGTAATCAGAACAAAGCAGGGAAACACTGCATGATTCAGGATCAGGAAAGTTGCACATCAGAGACGCATCCTATCTTCATACCTTTTCAGTTTATATGTAGAACAGATCATTCATGAGGCTGAATCTTATTAGGTAGAGTGTGGCATCAGGATAGGAAGAAGACTCATTAACAACCTCTGTTATTTAGATAATACATTTCTTGCTAAAACTGAGGAGGACATGATACATTTGCTGCAGAGGGTCAAGGACTGTAGTCTTTAATATGGATTGAAGCTCACCATCAAGAAATCAAAGATTTCTGACCACTGGGCCAATTGCCAGCTTTATGATAGATGACTTAAAATTATTAACAACTTCAGCTTACTTGGGTCCACATTCAGCACTCTTGGCACTAGTAGTCAACAAATCAGAAGACAAATTGCATTGGAAAAGTCTGCTGGCAGAGATATCTAGAGAACTAACTGAAGAGCAACAGGGTTATTTTGGAGATTAAGGTACACTGGATTCAGACTGTGCTCTTTGCAATTACTTGTTATGCATCAGAGAGCTAGACAGTAACTAAGAATGATAGAAGGATGGATGCCTTTAAATTGTGGTGCTGGAAAAGAGTGTTGAACATACTGTGGACTGCCAGGAGAAAAAACAGGTCTGTCCTGGAGAGGGTGAAACCAAGGTGCTTCCTGGAGGCAAATATTCTGAAGCTCTGTCTCACATACTTTGGGCATGTGGCCAGGAGGGACCAATCTTGGAGAGGGACATCATGATTAGAAGGATGCAGGTACAGTGCAGGATAGGAAGACCCAGGATGAGATGGATTGGACTCATTGACTGGAGAAATGGGATTGGGTCTGTTGGAGATGATGAGACTGGCTCAGAATAGGGCAGGTTTCACAGCTTAATGCACATAGGGCTGCTTTGGGTTGCAGGCTACTCAATGGCACATAACAACAATGTTAGAGTGGTACTCTTAGCACATCTATTTGATTCTGTAGTGCAACTCAGTTAAATGAACTTGAGCTTCCAAACAGTATATAAAACTAAGACCCATCTGGTAGCATAGTCTATATAGGGAGGTGCACCACTATCTAATGGCCACGCCTCTCTGGCAGTGCAAACCCTTGGAGGGAGAAAGATGGACAGTCTTGTCCTGTGTGATTTACAGCTTCCAAAACCCAACAGAAGGTGAGCTTTGAATCAGTTCAGACTCAATAGCAGTGAATTTGAGTTTTGTTATGTTTTGATTTTTAAAGTGATGTGAGAAGGAATAATTGGATTTTGGCATTCTGAAAGTGATGAGTAGACATAAAGAAGATAATTTTTTTTTTAGGTTTTTATTTTGTCTACTAAAATAAGCTTAAGGGTTCAAAAAAGATTTAAAATAATGTTGATGATAACTGTGCTTTTTTAAAAAAATTGTCATGAACGTAATACTGCCACTGAGTTGGTTTTAACATGAAAATCAGGCCTTTCTTTTTATTTCTTCTTCTTTTCTTTGAATTTAACCTCAGTATAACCTATTTTTCCAAACATTTTTGGATAATTTTCAGCAGAATCTTGCTTGCATGTGATAGTAATGATATTGTTTGATAATTTCCACACTCTGTTGGGTCATCTTTCTTTGGAATGGGAACAAATATCGATCTTTTCCAGTCATTGGGCCAGCTGGCTGTTCTCCAGATTTCTTGGCACAACTTAGTGAGCACATCCAGGGCAGTGTCTGTCTATTGAAATATGTCAATTGGTATGCCGTCAACTCCTGGAGCCATGTTTTTGCCAATTCCTTTAGAGCAATTTGAACTTCCTCCTTCATCACCATAGACTCTTGCTCATATGTTATTTCATGAAATTCTTCTTTGTCAGCCAATTCCTTCTGATAGAGTGACTCTGTGTACTCTTTCCATCTTCCTTTTATACTTCCTGGATCATTCAACATTCTACCCAAACCATCTTTAAGTATTGCCACCCATGGCTTGAATTTGTTTTTCAACTCCTTCAGCTTAAAAAATACTAGCAGCAAATAAAGGTCCATTGGACTGCATAGTGCATTGGACTTCCAATCTTTGGAAGAAATCTTTGGAAGAATCGATGGAGAAACTCGATCAGCAGTCAAAACCAGGCCATGTGCTGACTGTGACACAGACCATCAATTAGTCACGTGCACATTCAAATTGAAAGTGAAGAAAAGGAAAACAAGTTCTCGATAATCAAAGTATGACCTTGAGTCTGTCCCATCTGAGTTTAAAAATCATCTCTGGAATAGGTTTGAAGCAATGTATACTAATAGTTGAAGACCAGATAAGCTGTGAGATGACATCAAGGTTGTCACCCAGTTGGGAAGTTTTTTGATGTGCATAGGGATTTGATTCTTAGGAGGTCTCATTCATCTGTTTTGTTCTTTCCTTGTTGTAGATTTTTCATTATGTTCATACTATATATTCATAGACTGTTCATGCTGTGGATTAGGGCTTCTAGATTTCTTCCAACCTTTTCTCTGATGAAGTTTATAGTCTTTGGTTTTATTTCTAGGTCTTTGATCCACTTTGAGTTGGTTTTTGTGGATGGTATGAAGCGTGTGTCTTGCTTGAGTTTTCTACAGATGATTTTCTGATTTTACCAGCACCTTTGTTTAAAAAAGGTGTTCCCAAGTAAAATGAAGTCATTCACAGCTCAGTCTTTTCTCCTTCTATTATGATGTTGCCTTTGGACCCAGTGGTGAGGATTTGTGATTCCTTGGTGTTGAGATGTAATCCATATTGATGCTGTATTCTTTGAACTTTGGCAGCAAGTATGTCTTCTTCATTCTTTGCAAGCAAGATTGCGTTATTTGCAAAGCACAGGTTGTTGATGAGTCTTCCTCCAATCTTAATGCCATATTATTCTTTTGTTGTTGTCAGGTCACCTTCTGTTCCTAAATCATGAAACCACAGTGAAAGAGAAAATATCTTTTAATTAGACTTTCATGTGCTGTTCAAGAGCTGGACATTCCACTATCTAGCTTGTTGTAAATTTGTATTACTTGGCCAGCTTTCACATCCATAGTTGTATATCCTCCTAAGATTTGTGCTTAAGTAAGTACTTTGAACTAAAAAAAAAAGGTGTCTCCAACATGGTAAAAATGAAACTCACAGATTGAGAAAAAATATTTGGCAATGATGTATCTGATAAGGGACTCATATAAAATTTATAGAATACTCCAGGATGTCATCAAGAAAAAGGTAAACAACCCAATTGCAAAATTAACAGAGGATATAAATAGACACTTCACCAAAGAAGACATTCAAATGACAAGCAAACACATGAAGAAATGTTCAGAATCCCTAGCTATCAGAGACATGCAAATAAAAACAACTATCAGATACCATTTCACCCCAGCAATCATAGTGAAGTTCAACAGAGCAGCAAACAACAAATGCTGGCGAGGTTGTGGAGAGATAAGAAATCTTATTCACTGCTAGTGGGAGTATAAAATGGTACAACCACTATGGAAGATAGTCTAGTGCTTTCTCAAAAAGTTGAAGGTAGAAACACCAGTTGACCCCACAGTGCCACTACTGGAAATAAGCAGTCCATTGCAGAGTAGACTAGGGGAGGAGGAAGGGAAATGTGCAGCAATAAATGAATAAAAATCCGACTTTTCTATAAACTTTGGTTAAAAGTACAATAAAAAGAAAAGATGTCATCCAGGAAGAAAGAAAAAAGTCACTAAAAAGAGAATGAAAATACCAGAATGAATGTCAGAAGAGAAATAACCATGTTGTTGCTGTTTTTAAGTGCAACCCTGTGAACAAAAGTTCTCAACACTTGTGTGACTTTCATCCTTTCTCCAGGTTCATAGGGTTTCCAGACGCAAGGAAACAATAAATAAAATAATAAATGTTATAATAATTCTCAGACAAGTCAGTAATTTCGTTTCCAATCAATTAAATAGTAGATGGTCAGAAAAATGTTGGAAGTAAAATCAAAAGAAAAAGCATTGTTTTGCCACTTTAAAAAGTCCTGCTTACTTGAAATAAGATGATTAATTATTTACTTCTTTTTGTACCTGTGGAGAACATTTTCTCAAGTTCTAATGTAGTGAATGGTATAAATAGAATGGATACTTTTCTTTTTCCCTCAAATACCTTTCCACTTTAGGCTTGTTATAAAAGCTGTTGTGTTTGTCTCCACCATCATAATCTTTTAGTCACCTATTCTCTCCATTTTTTTATAAACGTATAACTTATGTATAAATTTAGTAAAATGGTTATCTTACTGTCATTACATAAACTCCTAAATGTGCATAATTAAAGTACCTGTATATGTTCCTTCTCTTTCAGGAGTAATAAGAAGTTCTTTGAACTCTTTACAATTCATCTAATGCTACAAGAAATACAAAGGACAACACATCCAGAGCATGCATTTCTCTGTATTAACCTAAATTCGACTTTGTTCAATTTGGGTCTAACAAAATACAACTCCCTAGTGTCCAATGCAAGCCATTAGAGTAGTTTGTTTCACATATATAAGACATACATATTTGGTATATGTGTTTTATATATTAATAAAATAAAGCGTGTGCGTTCATATTTTTAGAACTGTAAAAATCACCAAAAGAACGAAAATTTTACCAAGGAACATTGTTAGTAATAGTATTAATTATCATGAAAGATAAATAGAAGAGTTTTTTTCTTTTAAAGTTTTTAATTGACATTTGAAGCAGCTCAAGAAAGTTTCTGTTTAAAGTGACAGTACTAAAGTACCAGACAACATTTCCAGAATTAGAATTAGTGACATTGATGACACTATGTTAACCTGTGTAAGTATTGTGGGAAAATGTTCTTTTATAATTATATAATTATTTGGAATAAAATATGTGCTTATATGGGAACAGGTTTAGGTCATGGTGTCATTCTCTTGTCTTAATATATTAGAATCCTTAATATTGTATAGAAAGGAATTGGCAGATACAGAAGAATTTCATGAAATAACATATGAACAAGAGCCTATGGTGATGAAGGAAGAAGTTCAAGCTGCTTTGAAGGAAATAGCAAAAAATAAGGCCCCTGGAATAGATGGTATACCAATTGAAGTATTTCAGATAACAGATGTTGCCCTGGATGTGCTCACCAAGTTGTGCCAAGAAATCTGGAGAACAACCACTTGGCCAACTGACTGGAAGAGATCTATATTTGTTCCCATTCCAAAGAAAGGTGACCCAACTGAGTGTGGAAACTACAGAACAGTGTCATTGATTTCACATGCAAGCAAGATTCTACTGAAGATTATCCAAAAACGATTAGAACAGCACATCAGCAGAGAACTGCCAGAAGTCCAGGCTGGGTTTAGAAGGGGTCGTGGTACTAGGGATATTGTTGCTGATGTTAGATGGATCTTAGCTGAAAGCAGAGAATACCAGAAGAATGTCTATCTGTGTTTCATTGATTATGCAAAGGCATTTGACTGTGTGGATCATAACAAACTGTGGCTGACTCTGAGAAGAATGGGAATCCCAGAACATTTAATTGTGCTAATGCGAAACCTATACTTGGACCAAGAGGCAGTAGTCAGAACAGAGCAGGGTAACACTGCATGGTTCAGAATTGGGAAGGGTGTACGCCAGGGATGCATCCTGTCTCCATACCTTTTCAACATGTATGCAGAGCAGATTATCCGAGAAGCTGGGCTCTATGAGGAGAATTGTGGCATCAGGATTAGTGGAAGGTCTATTAACAATCTGTGTTATGCAGATGACACAACCCTGCTTGCTGAAACTGAGGAGGACCTCATGCACTTGCTGCTGAGGGTCAAGGACTGCAGCCTCCAATATGGATTGAGGCTCAATGTCAAGAAGACAAAGATTCTCTCCACTGGACCAATAGGCAGCATCAGGATGGATGGCGAAGAGATTGAGATTGTTCACAGCTTCAGTTTGCTCGGCTCCACAGTCAACACTCTTGGCACCAGCAGTCAGGAAATAAAAAAGCATATCGCGATGGGAAAGTCTGCTGTTAGGGACCTCTCTTAAAGTACTCAAGAGCAACGGTGTCTCTCTGGAGTCTAAGGTGCGCCTGATACAGGCCATGGTCTTTGCATCAGAGAGTTGGACAATGAGTAGGGAGGACAGAAGGAGAGTTGATGCCTTTGAGCTGTGGTGCTGGAGAAGAGTACTGAATGTACCATGGACTGCCGGGAAAACAAACAGATTCATCTTGGAGAGGATTAAACCAACTACTCCTTGGAGGCAAGGATTCTGGGGCTTCGTCTGACATACTTTGGACATGGTGCCAGGAAGGATGGGTCCTTGGAGAGGGACATCATGCTTGGGAGGGTGGAGGGACAGCACAGGAGGGGAAGACCCTCTATGAGATGGATTGATTCGGTGACTGGGGTAATCGGGATGGGTGTGTCAGAGGCAGTGTGGTTGGCGCAGGATAGAGCAGGGTTTAGGGCTGTTGTGCATAGGGTCGCTATGAGTCGCAAATGACTCGACGGTACATAACAACAACAACAACATTTTAAACTAATAATAAAATAAGATAATGTTTTCTCAAGTTAATTATGGCTCATAGAGACCCAATGAACAATGACTCTGAACCATGTCAGCCTCACCATCTCTGACACACCTGACCACATTGCCACAGTCACTGTGTCAGTCCATCTCATCCACGGTCTTTCTCTCCAGTGCTCACCCTCAACCTTTCCAAGCATGATATCCTTTTTCAAGGACTGGTCCCTCTGGGCAACACACTCAAATTCTGTGAGACGGAGCTTCAAAATCCTTGCCTCCAAGGAAGAACTGGTTTTACCCTCTTGAAGACAGACCTGTTTGTTCTCTTTATAGTCCATGGTATGTTACATACTCTTCTCCAGTGTCACACCTCAAAGGCATCAATTTCTTTTTCTGCTATCCTTATTCATTGTCCAGCTCTCAGATGAATAGCAAGCACTTGAGAAGACTATGGTCTGGATCAGGCTCACATTAGTCTTTAGACTGACATCATTGCCCTTTAGAACTCTGAAGAGGCCCTTGATAGCAGATTTTCCTAAAGCAAATCATCTCTTGATTTTCTGACAGCTGATGCCGCAAGTGTTGACTGTGGATCTGAGCATGATGAAATTAACATCCTCAGCCTTTTCTCCATCTGTCATGATACTGCCAGTTGGCCTGGTGGTGAAGATGGTTTTGTTTTTTGGAGGTTTTTGTTTGGTTTTTTTTTTTTAAATGTAGAGATGTAATCCATATAGAATCTTTGACCTTCTGCAGCAAATGCTTCAAGTCCTCCTCAGATACTGCATAATACAAGTTACTGATGAGTCTGCCTCCAATCCTGAAGCCACATACTTCTTCATAAAGTCCAGCCTCTCAAATGATCTGATCAGAATATGGACTGTGAAAGGTATGGAGAAAGGATACATCTCTGATGCACTCCTTTATTTCTTTTGAACCATGCCCTGTTCTCTTGCTCTGCCTGTACAACAAGCTTCGTGGTCTAGGTATAGGTTTCGCATGAGCACAATCAAGTGTTCTGAGATTCCCATTCTTTTCAATATTAGCCACAATTTGTTGTGATCCACACAGTCAAATGCATTTTCATAGTCGGTAAAACACAAATAAACATCCTTTTGATATACTCTCGTCATTTAGCCAACATCCATCTCACATCAGCAGTGATATCCCTAGTGCTATTGCCTTTTCTAAACCCAGCTTGTATCTGTTATTTTCATTAAGGTTTTAAGGCCGTAAATATCACAGGAAGAGATTTCCCATCTTTCTTCTACAGAATCATTGATGGCTTCTACCAGAAAGGCTCATCCTCTGAGTTAGCAGAACATTTCCCTAAATACCAGACCACCAAAGCTCCTTATATATATGTATGCTAGATGCCCAAATGTTGGCATTTTTAATACCATTTTTTATTTTATTCTTATTTATACTATGTTATTTTAATTATTCTATTCAAGGAAGCTTTGGGGGCCTAGTGTTAATAAACTGCACTGCAATCCCAAAGGCAGGCAGTTTGAATCTACCAGCTGCTCCATGGGAGAAGGATGAGGCATCTAACAATTTATTGACTCTGAAAACCTGCTAGAGAGTTAGCTATGAGTCAGTTCCAACTCAATGGCAAACAGTAACAACACCACCACCACTCATGGAGTACTTAAGAGAACATTTAAAATGTTTCTCTGCTTTCATTCCCCCCCCAAAGAATAATTCTGTTACAGATTAAGATAATGTCAGTGGAACTTCTAAAGAGATGCCAACAAGTTGAGAACAGTTCATAGCGACCCTGTGAACAACAAACAGATCAGATCCCTGTACTATCCTGAGTCAATCCACTTGGTTGAGGGTCTTCCTATCCTTTGCCGTTACCCCACCTTTCCAAGCATGATGTCCTTCTTTAAGGAATAACCTTTCCTAGCAACATGCCCAAGATAAATGAGATGAAGAGTAAGAAGAAAAAACTTGGTGACTTACTTCTTAAAAGCAGCCAGTGAAAATCCTAAACATTATACTAGTCCAATTTGCAACCGTGCCCTGGCCTGTGTATTCCTCTTGTGCTGTCCATAGGTCAGAGGCCAGTGAGATGACAGCTCACAGTGCAATGTAAGTAGAAAAAGACAAAAAACAAAAAACATTACAATTCCACTGTCCTGTCCAGAGGGAACTCTTGCTATAGCCAAAGATAAATGACCAGAGATCTGGGCAAGGTGGAGAGCTTAGGACAGAGCTCTGAGGAACAAGGGGAAAAGGAGCATTGTCCCGATGACTTAGAAAGTTTTACATTCCCAGGGTGTAATTTAAATTTAGAAGCCAGAAGATGGTTTTGGGCAGCTTTATGGCCTCTTCAGGTGAGTGTAAGAAAGGGTTCCCTGTATCAAGTAGAAGGTCAGCAGGGAAGAAAAGGCTGAAGTCAATTTGGAAATGCCTCGAAGAACTGCAGAATACATACTCAAAAGTGCACATTGGAGTCAAATGTATAGTGTGAATACTGTTTGAAAAAAGGAGATTTCAGTGTAGGAAGGCAAACAGCTCTCTCAAAACTCTGACATGATACCAGTAATAGGGTGGATGACACAGTACATCAGCATAAAAGTAACAAGTGGAGCAGAAGTAATGTTCAAAGATATAGTTGAATGAAGACGTTAAGAGAATGGAAGAGAAAGGTCTGTGTGGACATATTGAAAGGGCTTATATTCCAGAAACAGCTGTTGAGAAAGGATTCAGTAATTAGACCCATTCTGACATAAAGTTTAAATTATAAGCATATAAACAAACCAATTATGTACAAATGAAAAAATAAAAACAAGCAAACCTCAAACTGATTGCTACTAAGTTGGAATAAATTCATAGTTGACCTTGCATTGGGTTTCTGAGGCTGTAAATTGTATGGAAGGAGATTGTCGGTCTTCTTCCCCCTGAGGAACCACAGTAATTGGAATCACCAGAGAGGCGTGGCTTTGGGGTTAGCAGTGTAGGAAAGCCACACTGGCTGCATGGAATG